TTCTACTGACACTGCAGTCTCTCTCTCTCTCTCTCTCTCTCTCTCACACACACACACACACACACACACACACACACACACAAAGAAAAATGAAACTTGGCCACCAAACGCCTTTTTTAGTGTTTTATCCACAAATGAAGTCCTTTGTTTTGCCTTTTTTAAGCATACGTTTCATTCTTCACACCAGATTTTTTTTTTTTAAACTGCAATCTAGATTTACAATATATACAATCTAGACGGTAAGGGACAATCAGTACATCTCACAGATTTACCTATGTACAGTCTTTGGAGCAAGAATTCTTTTATAAAAAAAACTCTTAAAAAAAGTCTTTACAATAGAACCATGGTGTAATACATCAGTCATCTTCGGAGGAAACTGGGATTCTGAGATGGCTAGCATTCCAAAGACCAGTGAGCGTGACGGAGTTTAGAGTTGACACATACTGTACAGTAAATATTTCAATGTTCCGCCCCCAGGGGGTCAGGTCTGGACACGTAGGCATAACCCATCTTGCTGAAGTTCAGGAACAGCTCCACCAGACCCAGGGAGGACCACACTGTGCCATCGCTCCTGTGGTACCTGGGTCTCAGAGAGCAGGGGCAGAAGTAGTCTCTCGTGATTTCCTTCCACACCTCCCTCTCCCCTTCCACACCTCCCTCCACCTAAGAAACCTGTGCAAATGCAGGTGGGGGCCTGCACTTTCAGAGCAGGGGCACATGGGTTCCACCACTGCCATTACCGCAAGATACCAAGCAGCCATGGTGCCGGCCACCGAGACACCAGGGACAAGTCCAAAGAGGCAGCTGAGAAATCTCCCGCCACCCTTCAGAGCTCAACAAAGGGAGCTGGGGGGATCCCCTTCCTTGCCTGCCTGAGCATGGGATTCAGCAGCACTCTGCAGTATCCGCAGTGCATGTAGTGCAGGAATGAGAGTGGGGACGCTCTGCTGAGACCGCAAGCCCTGTGCCCATCCTCATACGTGTCCACACAGTGCCCACAGTGCCGGAGGAGTACTGGCCCTGCAGAGGGCAGCTACAGCCATTGGGCTGCCGTAATCACTCCGCAGCCATTCCACGGTCAAGGGAGGGCTGAGCTGTTCTCCCCACCTAGCAATACCCAGTGTCCAGCCTGCTTCTCACCCTGGTCCCTGCATCAGCCCGCACCTACCCCTGCTTGTCCCCAGTACACCCAGTGCTCAGCCACCTCCTCTGCGTTGGCCCCTTGGACTGGGGCTCTCGGAGCAGGAGCCCGTAGGTGGGGTTCCCGAGGAGGCGGGGGCAGGACACACAATACACTGGGCATCCAGCACTGTGCCCATTGGACAGGCTGGGCTTCCTGGCTTCCCTCAGCGGGTGATAGCCGGCTGCTGTGAGTACTGAGAACCAAGCAGCCCTGGGACATGTATGTATACACACACACACACACACACACACACACACACACACACACACACACACACACACACACACACACACACACATATATATATATATATATATATATACACACACACACACACACCCCTCTCCAGCAGGGACAGGGACACACACACACACCCCTTCAGAAGGGACAGGGACACAGACCCACACCCAGTAGGGATGGACACACACACATACACATACACACCCCTCCTGCAGGGGGCAGCAAGGACAGACACAACACACACACCCCTCCAGCAGGGGGCAGCAGGGATGGACACAACACACACACACACGCTCATTCCCTAGCCATGCCCCCTAGTGGTACCAACCATGTTACACACGCCAGACTGTGCTACAAGGGAGAAGGGGTGCAGTGGTAGGAAGAGCTTTGGGCCCCAATCCAGCACTCGCTACGTCAACGGGAGTCCTTCAGTGGGGTCAGACACTTAGTGATGAAGTCAAAGCCCTACAGACACCCGGGGCACAAAGCTGCTACCCCAAGCCTGTGCCGCTATGCCGGATAAGAGGGGGCTGGGTTAGGGGGGAGTATCCCCGAAGGTCACTCCTCCTTCAGGCAAAGCAGAAGGATGATACAGTTTCAATCCCACTGCTCCTCAGCCCCCCACAGGGCAATTCAATGGAAACAACATTACACTCGTTCTGCAACAGACACCGACGCTTCTCAGATAAATAATCATTTAAATTAGTTCGTTAAATTAACCAGCATTGAGCCACAGCAGTGCCTGCTCAGGAGAGACTTTTCTGCTCTGTCCCACCCCCTTCAGGTCAGCACCTTGAAAAAGAACCTTTCCCCCTATTTCCCCCACCCCAGTGAGAGATCTGGGCTTTAGCAGCATATATGTCCCCTGCCCCGCTTCAGGATCTAAAGGACCAGCTCCCAGGTGGTGTGCCCAGAGCCCGACGGCTGGGAATCTCAGCAGAGAGGAGACGGCTTGCAGGGCGGGCTATAGAGACTCACCTCCCGTCTGAGCCCTGAATGTTTAGGGCCAAGACACGTTGGCCGGGAGCAGGGTGCAGTCCGGCAGTTTGTGTAGTACCCAATGGGCGGTGGGTGTCATAGGCATGGGGAAGCTAAGCCTCCCCTAACCCAAGCCAGGGCCCTGCCCACGCTCTGCCCCATGGACGGGGCTTCACCTCTCCCTGAAGGCGGCGGGGGCTCAGCTCGAGCCGGTGGGCCAGGGCGGTTCGGCTGAGGCTCCTCCAGCTGCGGTTGGTGGGGGGGCACGCTTGGGCTCTGGTGGAGAAGGGGAGCAGGGGGAGGCCTCGGGCAGAAGGGGTGGGAAGAAACGAAGGCAGCTGTGCTCTGTCAGTGAAGAATAATTTAACGCTCCCACCACTCTGCCTCCCTGCCCCATTCCCACTGGGAAGCAGCACTGGGGGGGGGGGGGGAGGAGAAGAGGGGTCGGTCTAAAACCCCATCAGCATGATACCCTTCCCCCCCACGACATAAATGTTTAAAAAAAGGACACCATTACAGCTTCCACCTACAGCAGCATTCCCATGTGCCGCACCCCCAGAGCCAGCCCCCCCGGCAGGGAGGAATGAGGGGGGTGTCAAACCAGCCCCGCTGCCTCATTCAGACAGAGAGCAAACCGATCTGGCAAGAAGTTGACTATTCTTCCGCTGTCCAGGGTTCAGTTCAACAGTGCGGCAAACAGCCCCAGTCCCCTACGCGGACCGGGCAGACCAAAGAGATGGGTGCTCCAGCAAACCACGAGGGCCCATCCCACGGGGGCACCCTCTGCACCGCCCTGAAGGCCGGCAAGTCAGCGTTGGCTTCGCCGCAAAGGGATCCAGCCACCCCACGACTGTAAGGATTTCAAATGCTCTGCTTCTGAGCCTTGACACGATGCGGCCGAAAGCCACGTTAGCCTGGCCGAGGGGGACTCCGCAGCCCTCTACCCTCTGTCTACCTTCTCCAGGACCAGCGCTGTCCCCAGCAGCCAGCCCCCACCATAAGCAAGGAGCCCATTCGGGGCCCTGCGGCGCAGCAGTGGTATCTCCGGCCCGGTGGATGTTGGGACGCGCTGGGTGACAGGCAGCCAAGGCGGAGGCCAAGGCAACGCAGGGAAATTCTAGTCCATGTCCCATCAGAAGTGCGTAAGGTTCTTGAGGACACCTAATTCAAGCATCCTTTTTATTGCTAATGCCTCGTGCGAGATATTGTGCTCCGACGCCTGCGAGACAGACAAAAGAGAGAGACAGACAAAAGAGAGCTCTTCAGGCCAGATGCCATGGCGACAAGCCCCCTGATAAAAGCCTAGCTAGACGGGAAAGGCTGTGAGTCCAGCTCCTCCCCACCCTGCCCTGTCGCGGTTCGCCCTTCGTGATGCTGGGGGGCGGGGGGGAGGGGGGAGTGGCCTGCAGCTTTAAAAGAGGACTGTCATTGTTTTAAGAGTTGAATATTTAATGCCTACAACCGCCGAGATTCAACCTGGATTTATGCTGCACTTGTGTTTTAGATCAGTGGTTCACAACCTTTTTGGGCTCAGGACCCATTTGTAAATGTTTATGGCCTGTCGTGACCCAGTAAATAGTCTGGGGGGTGGAGGCCCTGGGGTGGTTTTGGTCGAGTCCTGCCCAGCATTCACCTCACAGTGGCAGCTCCTGCACCTCCTGTGCTGTGGGGCTGGCTGGGCTTGGCTCTCCGCTCTGAGCGTTGCAACCTGTGGGGTCACAGCACTGCTCTGGTTTGGCCCCATCCCTCTGACTGGACCAAATTTGTTGAGTGGAGTTGTGACCTGGTTCGAGGGGTTGCACTGCCACTCCCTCAAATTTGGCCTCCCTGGGCTCCCATCGTCATGACGGCTGGGCCAAACCTCAGTGGTGCTGGGACCCCAGAGGTTGCAACGCCTGGAACGGGGAGGTGAGACCAGCCAGCCCTATGGGACAGGAGCCGCGGGAGCTGCCACGTGACCCTTTGAAACGTTCTGGTGACCCAATTTTGGGTCCCGACCCATGGCTTGAGAAACCCTGCTTTAGATGACACCATCTCTCTGAGGAGGGACTCTCTTCATTAGGTATTTATTAATTGTATTGCAGTAGCACCTCAGAGCTCCAGTTGTGGACCTAGATCCCGGTGTGCAAGGTGCTGTACAGGCAGAATGAAAAGATGGTCCTTGTCCCAAGGATATGGCAAGCTAAGCGTTCTGCTGTCTGTACAGGGCCTAACACATGGGGACCCTGATCCTTGCTTGCTGTTCCTAGACACTACCATAATACAGATAGTGCTACTACTTAGAGTATTTCCTAGGTATCCCCTGTACTTACTCTGGGGAATACTCCAAATGCCAAGGGAATGGAAGAGTTTTTATGGATCATCACTGTCATATGCAGCACTGCTCTCTAGTGGATGGAATGCATCAACGCTATTCATGGGTATGACCAAGGGTAGTGGCCATAGCATATGGAGGGGCGGTATAACCCCTAGTTCTATTACATACCGAATCCAGACAGCTTACCGCTAATACGTTAATAACACAATTCCCACTGGTGACGTTTGTAAAGCCCAGAGATTCGCACAGGAAAAGTGTTGTGTAACAGCAAAGCGTGATCACTACTAGAGGGGAAAGAGCGCACGGTCACTTACGGCCATTGACTTTAGTGTGATTTGCTCGTAGTAATGTATAGTCTGTTTCTTATTGGCAGAATCGGGGTAACCAAAGCCTGCGATATGTACCAGGTCACAGAAGTGCAATGCCAACGTGATGGCTAATAATCCCGTCGTTGGTTTCTAGAGGGAGAGAGATGAAAGGGCTCAGGGTGATTAAAAAAAAAAACATACATGCTGGGTTCAGTTCAGAGTGGTTTTCTCCCCACTTCGCTCTTTGGGGACAGGTCCTGTGTATAACAGAGAGGCTTGGTATGCGTGATCATTAGAGCCCAGAGTGAACACTGGGTCCAGGCTGACCAATGACCATGGTGCCTTGTGATACACAGACGCAGTTCGTCACATACGCGTGACTTAGAATGAAGGTTCCCCACTTAGGAAGGGCAGCTGCTAGCTATAGGGCTGCCGCCATTACGAAGTGGGACTCTCGGTTTAGTCCTGCATATATCACCACCTGCCTTATGGGGTACAAAACATCTGGACTAGACAAGAGGGGGAATACTGGGTCATGAACTCCAAGACACACATGGATTTTCCAAGTTGCTCCTTGAAAAATCTCCAGATGGGGAGAGCCCCTATGACTGTGTCCCAGGTCATTAGGATCTGCCATAGATCAAGGCACTGAGAATGGATAGTTTAAGGAAAGCTTTATTGCCCATGACTGCAATGCATGAGTATCCAAACACTGGGGTGGGGGGGAACGGATAGCTCAGTGGTTTGAGCATTGGCCTGCTAAACCCAGGGTTGTGAGTTCAATCCTTGAGGAGGCCTTTTAGGGAACTGGGGTAAAAATCTGTCTGGGGATTGGTCCTGCTTTGAGCAGGGGGTTGGACTAGATGACCTCCTGAGGTCCCTTCCAAACCTGATATTCTATGATTCTATGAGCACTGCTTAAACTCTTGTCCCAGCATGCACTGGGCTCAGCGTGAATCTGGGACAAATTCTCTTCTTTGGTTGATCCAAAATCCCAGTAAGGAACCTGGAGGAGTGATCCTTGGGACATTATACCCTCCCCTCCCAAAGTTGCTGGACAGAACGTTGAGGACAATGGAGACTCCTGCATGAAAATCCATTTATGGGAACAAGGAGAAAGTCATACAAACAGTTTCTCTGGACGTGGCAACACTACAGCCAAGTGCACACCTTCCTTCAAATGGCCAGCTGCTCTGGAAGGAGCTTCCACCCGGCTAAGCTGGTACGAGCCATGCTGAGCTGGTCTCAGCTGGAAATGATCTTCCCCCTAGCCAAGCTGGTTTGGGAATCTCTCTTTGCAGATCTTTTACTAAGTTACTTCTACCCTGACCTATAAGATTTCCATGCTTGGGACATTTCTCTCTGCTTGACATGGCTGGGAGGATGTGAGCCTTGACAGAAAGAGACCAGAGAACAGAAGAACAACTTATTGCCTCTTCAGCCAATTTCTATTCCCTTCCAGGGAGAGGAAGATATTCCTCTCTGGACGTGGCAGCCCCCCATCCCCGAATGACGCTGTTCCATTTGGACATCTGCTCGCTCCGATCCCCCACATCGCTAGATTTAGAGTCACTGTGGCTTTGCAGAGTTTTACTCATTCCTCAGTTATATGCTGTTCCAGCCATAGAATTCGGCAACATCAACACGAGGTCAGTGTATGCCAAAGATTTGCTCCTGGGAAGCAGCTATTTCAAAAAGGACCTGGGGGGTGTGGAGAATAATCACTGAACACGAGCTCCCCATGTGATGCTGTGGCCCAAAGGCCTCATGCGATCTTTGGATACATAAACAGGGGAATATTGAATAGGAGGGGTTCTATTACCTCTTTGTTTGGCACTGGTGCGACTGCTACTGGAATACTGGGTCCAGTTCTGGTGTCCACCGTTCAAGAAGGATGCTGATAAATTGGAGAGGGGTCAGAGAAGAGCCACGAGAAGGATTAAAGGATTAGAAAACCTGCCTTATAGTGATAGAGCCAAGCAGCTCAAACGATTTCATTTCTCAAAGATAAGGTGAAAAGGTGACTCGAGCCTGGTCTGTAACTACTTACATGGGAAACAGAAATTTGATAATAGCAGGCTCTCCTCTCTAGCAGCCAAAGGTCTCCAGTGGCTGGAAGCTGAAGTTAGACAAATGAAGGCTAGAAATAAGGCAGAGGTTTTTAACACTAAAGGTAATTAAGCATTGGAACAACTGTGGTGGAGTCTCCATCATGGTAAATTTTTAAATCAAGATTGGATGTTTTTCTAGAAAATCTGCTGTAGTTCAAACAGGAATGAATTTAGGGCAGTTCTCTGGCCTGGCCTATGCAGGAGGTCAGACTGGATGATCATAGTGGACTCTTCTAGCCTTACAGTCTATGAAGCTATAACATTATTTGTGAAACAGTGACTGGCTCTGGGACATTTAAACCTCTGCACCTCAGTTTCTCGAGCTATAAACGAGGACCCCACCACATCTCTTGCAGGTCTGTGGGGGCATTCGCTAGTCAACCATTCCAAAGTGTTTTGAAGATGCAAAATGCTATGGTGTTACAGCGCCACTACAGAAAAAGATGAGTAGAGAATTCCACTCTGAACTCCGCAGACCTTCGTAACTTCTGCCAAACGTTATGGGTTTGTCTGATTTCTCACAAGTGATGGATAACAAGGAAATCTATTCAGCTATTTCTTGCATTATAGATGCACACAAAAAAGGCCATCCACGAATACCTTTAAGCTTTAAAACAACAAAAGAAATCGGATAACACAAAACCAGCTTTGTGTGCGCGCGCATTCACACACACACACACACACACACACACACTTATAATTTGACTGCACTGGCCAAACAAACAATAGAAGGATTCAGTGCAGAAAGATCTTCCTCCTTGAGCAGAAGCCGCTTGCTAACTTCTCCCTCCAGAAGAGCAGCTTCTCTGGTTTAGACTCGAGCCACAATCACTTCCCAACAGTGGCCAACTTTCCCCCCAACAAAGCAGTGTGAATATAATCTCAAGGATGCAGGGAAACAGAGGTGAGCGGGTGGCCAATATCTCCGCACACCTGGGAGGCCCTGTACTGTGGGCGGATGGATCACCTAGCATTTTATCTACAAAGCACTGTAAGAATCACCCAAGTGGCCTTCATCTTGATCTCCTCCTGCTTGGAAAAGGGCAGTAATTTTCCAAATCGTGTTGACCCAACCCTGGGCTACTCAATAAGTCGATGGGGCACGAAGGGGAAAAGGGTGGGGGCAGTGCAGCTGAATGACACCACGCCCCCTTAGCGAGTTCCAGTTGAGACTACCCTGTGATTTAGATCCGGGGCACCAGGAGTCTGTCTCGCTCTCTCTGCCCCCAGCACACCGGCTCCCTTACCTGTTTAATCTTCCGCGGTTGCTTCATGGAAAGATTAAGCAATTTAGCAGCAGTAATTTCCATAAAGTAAGGGTTCAGAATTCGCACTTGCTCAGGATTGGCATCCCAGATTAAAGGGGGCTGCTTCCAGAATCCCTTGCGAACCTGGAAAAGGACAACAAGAAAAGTCAGGGGCTGTTCTTTCCCCACTAGGGCTGCACCAGGCTTGCATCCAGCAGCGAGAGCAAAACAAGGCAGAGGAGAGGCCAGCCATAGCCCCCTGCAACACTTACTCGCTTCTTGTCATTGAGGATCATCTCCAGCCATTGGAAATCCATGGGTTTAAACGGCACCAGCACCAGCAGAGTATCCGGGTTGTTTTCCCGTCTGGGGTCGAAGTGCGCGGACTCTGGGTAAAACAGGCGCATGGTGGTTTTGGAGCCCACATCCGCCTCGTACCCATGAACCGGCGCGTTGTTCAACCTGAGGGGAGGGAGCGCAAGATGAGGCAGGGGCTATTTCATACGGGTTCCATTTTCCCCATGACCTGTCCCATTAGCATCTCACTTCCCGTCCCCAGTGGAGAGCCTTTCAGGGATTTGAGCCACCTGCTCGCCACACTTTGACGTGATAGATGTTAGGTTAGGGGATGTGGGGACAGGATCCTTCGGGAATGAACTCCCCCAGGAAGTAAGGCCCATCCCAGCGCCACCTCCCACTCTGGGTGCCAGGCGCATTGCTTTGACCTGCCTTCTCTAACAAACCCCGAGCAATGTGAGTGTACATTTCCACAAAACCATCCAAACCAAACCCCTCCCCTGCACACACACACCTCTCCCTGGGACAGGATGAGAGAGCAAACACAGGACAAATGTTAGTCACGTGGCTTAATGCATAACTGCAAGGCAGGGTGGATAAAAATCAATGATTTAAAAAAAAAATCGGATTTTTTTTATTTAAATCAGAATTTGTTGATAAAATGCTTTTTGAGGAAAAAACCTATCTAAAGATAGTTTTAATTAAGATACATTATAGCTCAAAGATATCTAATCATGGAATAGGGATTATAAATTCTAATTCTATAGTATGAGACAATATATTCATGTAATGTTTAAGAAAAGTTTTATAAATGAGTTCCAACAGTTCATGGATTAGGGACCCAATTTTATGGGGTTCCACAGGCTTCTGTATAGATTATTTGCATTAATTTTTCTATCTACCCAATGGGACTCGGTATCTTCTAGACTGAGCACTATCAGAGATGCTTAGTTTTGCAGTTCTCAAACTGTGGATTTGTGTCTCCAGAGGTAACATGCTTGTTAACAGCAAAAATGTTTTTAAATAAATAAGATATAGAGGTGAGAAATAACAGACCTCAACTATATTGTCCCTCTGCAAATTTGTGTACACAGAGTCAATCCCTTACCTCTCTCTAGAAGTGCAAAGTTCAATGAATAGAAGATTGTTGGGGGTGGAATAGATCTGGACAAGGAGAAGAAGTCTGGAGATAAATGTGAGAAGCGAGGGACATGCGCTTTTTTGTTAAAATATTATGTGTTTGTTGTTGAAGAAAAAAAATCCAGAATACTTAACGTTGTTGTTTTAGTTAAATAAAACAATTTTAAGTGTCTGTCTGGTGATGTTTTCCTCCTAATACAGCCTGTCAAGAAAATCCTCCAAATATTAATGATTAACCTGTTGAACTGGAGATAGTTCACCTCCCAATGACTTCATAAATATCTGCTTCAATTACCTTTGGTAAATGAAATCACCAAACAATCATTCATTTTCTGATATAGCTGTAAAACTAATCTGAAAAGTTTTCAAAATAAATCCCTGTCTAAAAATGTATAGTGTGTCTCTTCTAAAAATGAAACCTACATCTAACTCTGAGTTGTGAAGAATATGTATTAGGGTTATAACAGGGGTTCTCAAACTGGGGGTCAGGAACCCTCAGGGGGTCGTGAGGGTATTACATGGGGGGGTCAAGAGCGGTCAGTCTCCACCCCAAACCCCACTTTGCCTCCAGCATTTATAATGGTGTTAAATATATAAAAAAGTGTTTTTAATTTAGAAGTGGGGGTCGCACTCCAAGGCTTGCTACGTGAAAGGGGTCACCAGTACAAACGTTTGAGAAGCACTGGGTTATAACAACCAACAAGAATGCACTTTTATGTAGAAAACCATGATTAAATCGAGTCTTCCTGACTAGTGATTTAAATCAAACCCACCCTGCTGCAAGGTGCTCACGTACTACAGTGATGGGAGTGCCTGAATAGACTAGAATCTCCTGGTCGGACTAACCTGGATCTCCCACATCCCTTGTGTAAATCTGTGCATTTCTGTTCGAATCAGAGCTGAGGAACTGGCCTAAGGAGTCTGAGCACCTGCTTCTCGCTGGTGCTGGCAATTCCAGCTCCAGGAAAGCCCAAAGCATCCCCACTACGTGGGCTGCCTCAGGGACCCGAGAGTCTCAAAGGCAGCCCTGCTATGTCAGGGCTTCCGGGATGCCTGTCATGGAGCCAGGACCATGTGGGCTCTCTGGACTTCCAAGCTCTCTGTGTGGTGCCAAGAACCTGGCACTCTTGCAAACTCTGACTCTAACTCGAGCTTGGCTCCTAGATTCACAGCCTGGAGTCTGGAAATCCTGGGGGGTCTCAGTGTCACTGCCATCAAGCTGATAGCCTGGAGGTCCTGGAACAGGCTTCCCCATATGAGCTTCCCAGGGACCCCGGATTTCCAGGCTCTGCAGCTCAAAGGGTAGCCCCAGGGCCAGGGACCCCAGAGCTCTCAGACTCCCGGGCCACATTTCCATGTTTCTGTTCAGGATTTCCTGTTCACCAGCAATTCTGTCTTGGCCAGCTCTCGTCCGTGCTAGCCCCGCTCCGTGGCTCTGCCTCCTTTCATGCACACCAAAGCTAAGTCAAAGGAAAAGGGAACGATACGAGGTCCCTCAACACGAAAAGAATGCATTCCGTTTTCCTCCATCCCATTAATGTAGCATGGATCCCAGAGTGTTTATCTCAGCCGATCCCCAGGTATCTGTGAACATTCTCCGCTGTGTCCAAATTGATGTGATGGGTCCTTAGGGGGAGGAAGACCAACCCTCACTGTACTGAATCTCCATAGTGCCTTACCTGATCACCACGTCGTATTTGTTGATTGCTTCCCCCATGGAGCTGTTTCGGAGCTGGTGTCCGTTCCCCACCACTGCACATCTTCGGCACTTCATGCTGCAAAAGAAAACAATCTCAACCAAACGCTCTCACCATCCTTTTCATCTCCGGGGGATTCTCTCCCCCTTTACATTGAACAATTTAGTTCTTTACACATTTTTAGAAGCAACAAAAACAGCCTCGACTCCTTGGCGCCCTCTAGGGTTGAGCTTCCTGCTGCCCCAGGGGGTGAAGTTTTGCACGTAATGGCTTTGCGATGCAGGAGGTCAGACAAGATGGTAATGGACCCTTCTGCTTTGAGATCTATGAATCTGAAAGCACTGCATTTTTACCAGTGGATTCCAGAGGAAATGCAGGTGTGAATTCCCATTGCTGCTTTCCCTTGGCCTAGTCAGTAGGGCCATTTCTCTGATGTAGACACTTGCCCCCTCCCACTCACTAGGAACCAAACTGAAATCTCAAACCCATTTATAGACTCATAGACTTTAAGGTCAGAAGGGACCATTCTGATCATCTAGTCTGACCTCCTGCACAACGCAGGCCACAGAATCTCACCCACCCACTCCTGTAACAAACCCCCAACCTATGTCTGAGTTATTGAAGTCCTCAAATTGTGGTTTAAAGACCTCAAGGTGCAGAGAATCCTCCAGCAAGTGACTCATGCCCCACGCTGCAGAGGAAGGTGAAAAACCTTCAGGGCCTCTGCCAATCTGACCTGGAGGAAAATTCCTTCCCGACCCTAAATATGGCTATCAGCTAAACCCTGAGCATGTGGGCAAGACTCACCAGCCAGCACCCAGGAAAGAATTCTCTGTAGTAACTCAGATCCCACCCCATCTAACATCTCATCTCAGACCATTGGGCAAATTTACCTGCTAATAATAAAAGATCAATTAATTGCCAAAATTAGGCTATCCCATCATACCATCCCCTCCATAAACTTTTCAAGCTTAGTCTTGAAGCCAGATATGTCTTTTGCCCCCACTACTCCCCTTGGAAGGCTATTCCAGAACTTCACTCCTCTGATGGTTAGAAACCTTCGTCTAATTTCAAGTCTAAACTTCCTAGTGTCCAGTTTATATCCATTTGTTCTTGTGTCCACATTGGTACTAAGCTTAAATAATTCCTCTCCCTCCCTGATATTTATCCCTCTGATATATCTATAAAGAACAATCCTATCTCCCTTCAGCCTTCTTTTGGTTAGGCTAAACAAGCCGAGCTCTTTGAGTCTCCTTTCATATGACAGGTTTTCCATTCCTCGGATCATCCTAGTAGCCCTTCTCTGTACCTGTTTCAGTTTGAATTCATCCTTCTTAAACATGGGAGACCAGAACTGCACACAGTATTCCAGATGAGGTCTCACCAGTGCCTTGTATAACGGTACTAACACTTCCTTATCTTTACTGGAAATACCTCACCTGATGCATCCGAAGACCACATTAGCTTTTTTAACCGCCATATCACATGGGCGGCTCATAGTCATCCTGTGATCAGCCAATACTCCGAGGTCCTTCTCCTCCTCTATTACTTCCAACTGATGTGTCCCCAATTTATAACCAAAATTCTTGTTATTAATCCCTAAATGCATGACCTTGCACTTTTCACTATTAAATTTCATCCTATTACTATTACTCATTTCACACAGACCCCTGAATAGCAATGGGGCCCCAGTCACTACCAACACAGCTAGATTCCAACTGGAGACCCAGAGACAACAGATACCCTTTATCAGCACATTAGACTGCAAACAACACATGTTAACACCCAAATAAGGTGGCAGGTGCATATAATAAGCCCCCTGCTCAGAGGACAGCAGGGATTGAATTTGAGACCTTCATCACTAAAAGCAAGAGCCCTTACCACTTGAGCTACAGGAGTAACTCCTCTAAATTGGCACAGAAGTAGACTCTTATCCTCTGAGGTGAACTACACTCTTAGCATGGGTTACATATTGTTCAGCAGCAAAGGCACTGGGCTGGGATTCAGGAGATCTGGATTCTGTTCCCTACTGTGACACAGACTCTGTGTGTGATCCTGGGTAAGTCTCCATCTCTCTGTGCCCTAGTTTTCTCATGTGTGAGCTGGGGATGCCACCCCAGCAGCACAGGGAGGTTGTGAGGTCCAAAGAAGGTCTCGAGCCTGTCAGACGGGTGATACTACAGAAGTGCAGAGGCAGCATCCTTCCACAGGCCTCGGGCACCATTGCGACAGATATGGCAGGTGAAAATAAAGTGCCCAGCTGCCTGATGAAGAAGAGAAACCTGTTGGTACCAGAAGCTGGGGTGGAATGGAGCGTCCATGTGATAAACCAGCCCTGAAATTGGACCACGGTCAGAAAGATCTCTAGGCAACTGGAAGCTGCTTCACCCAGTCAACCCAATTCTTCCACCAGTTCAAGCCACTTCAGAGAGAGGACTCCGTGACAGCAGCTTGTCCGAGCCAGTCTCTCCCCTTCCACTGCTGCCTCCAGCTTCCTGGAGAGCTGCTAGAGGCAAACGCCAAGAGGCCGGATTTCAGCCCAGAGCCTATAGATAGCGCACTGAAAGGCAGGCAAACGCAGGGGCTGAGCCTGTCAGCACACTGCACCTCCCCTAGCAAACCACAAACAGCCCTGTATTGCGTGAACAGCCTCACGCTCCAGCTCGCCAGGGTGTGACAGGGAGGTGGCTGCTGCTGCTCTGAAGCCGGCAGTGTGGCCTAGCGACTCCAACACCCCACTGGGTCGCAGGGATCCTTGGTTCTATTCCCAACTCAGCTGCTGGGTGACCTTGGGCAAGTCATGTCGCTCTGTGCCTCAGTTTCCCTGTCTGCACAATGATGCTAATGATACTGACCTCCTTTGTGGAGCTCATGGAGATCTACGGAAGAGACGAGCTAGGCGTTAGTGTTTTATTGCATCAGGGACAGGCCTTTAACTAGCCCAGCGACGGCCTCTGCAGCATGTTCCATAAGCCCTGGCTTGACCTGGTTTGGTTTTTCCTTCTGTCCTAGCGACAGCAGCCTATGCCCGTACAGTCCAGCTACTGGAGACGACAGCCACACGAGGAAGGGTCTGGTTACATTGTTCAGCCCTGCACGGGAGTTTTGTTGGGCTTCCTGAGATCTGGTTCTCGTTCCTGATTCTAGGTGGGCTGGGTCAGTGAATCCTGTTTCTTTGCACTGCTACAACGGTACCCCAAATCTGCTGTGGGTGTAGGAAGGGGGGGTCACTCGCCCTGTATTTCTGACCCACGCCTCACATGGTCCGTGCTTGACTAGCTCAGACAAGCAGACAGACCAGAACGAGAGAGAGCCAGTGCTCGGCTGTCAGACAGAATCACGGGCACAGCAAACTGACACTGCAGCTCGTTACCGGCCTGCCAAAAATCAACGGCTCGTTTTGCCGTATGTCCCCAGAGAAAGGCCAGCAATTTACTCCATTTTAGTGCAAACAAACAGCCAGGCCGCTGACTGGGGCTGCAGCACCATGACATCATGTCCTGGAGCACGTCTGTCAACACGGGGCTGGGTTACAGACTGCAAGTCTGCCAGGGGCTGGGAAATCCAATCCTGCCACTGGCTGCAGGAAGGCAGCACACTGGGGGCGGGGGGGGGGAGGGGGCTCATCCAACTAAATCCCTTGTGCACATCAGAAATCTGCCCATCAGCCTGGCATGCAGTTTGGCCACCTCGGTTCACAAGGGGCCCAAGGACTGGAACAGCAGGGGGCTGCAGGGCAGGACTGAGGGGCATCAGCAGAGACCCATGGACTGGCAAGGCAGGGGGGCTGAGCCACATGGAGAAACAGACTCTGTCCACCCCTCCCTCTCTCTCATCTCACAGTTTACAAGGGGAGAGGAAGCAGCAGGAGAGTGGGCGGCTGCGGGACAATGCCAGGGAGGGGAGGAGAGATGGGGCAGGGCTACAGATGGGGAAGACATCTGGGCAAAGCCCCACATACACACCAAGGGAAGGAGAATGGGGCAGTTCGGGGATGATAGTGATCAAGAGGTCACTGGTGGGGTTTGGCGATGCGCTCCCAACACACACAGAAGGCCAGGGTCTCTGACAGTCAAACACCCCAGCACGTGCATTCACGCGCCAGAGGTGGTTGTGAAAGGGCGCAGCTCAGGGCAAGGGCAGCTCTTCAGGTGAGCAGGGCAGCCTACGTAGGAGATGGAAAACTCCGACTTCAAAACCCCCTCCAAGGGTTAAATGAAGCCCGGCGTCGGGCAGTGGCAACACCCGTGCCATGTGCTGACGGTCCACCAGATCTACGGCAAGACGGTGGGGAGACAGGGGGCATGTGCTTAGTTCAAGCGGGGAGATGCCCTCTCACTGCGGTGTACGTCAGGGACACCGACTGATACGCTGAGTCTCTGGTGCAAGGGGACTAAATCTGTGCAAGCAGTTTCTTCCTTTTGGCAAGTTCCCAAAGGGCAGTAGTAGATGTCGGTTCTAAGGAGAGGTGAGAGCGACTTGTATGCTTCTCTGCCAGGAACTACGGATGGGAGGACATCTCAGTCCTAGGGTAGGAGTTCACCCACCTGGCTGCTGGATTTTCGGGCAGCCAGCGCCTGAGCTGTCCTCCAGAGGGTTGGGGACTGGCGGTCAATTTAGGATGAATGAAAAGAACCTGATGACGATGGCAGGGGGAGAGAGGGTGGTAGGAAAGAGACTCCCAGGAAAGAGGAGGAAGAGATGGGTTGTACCCAAGAAGATGGTAAACATGTGGACCTTCGCGCTGCCTCAGACAGACACAGTTGGTGGATGTTTGCATGACAACTCAACCCCAGCTGATGGGGAAGAAGACTCCAGTATCTCTTCATCTTGATCCAGAGCCTGGTCAGATGATTTATCAACATCCACGAGGGGACCAAGAAGCAGAACGAGACACACATAGGCCAATATAAATGGACTTCAGCCTCCTTGGCATTCAGGCCAAGAGCTTCCTGTGTTCACTCGGAGAGGGGGCTCTGCTGGGTTTAAACCCAATTTTTGGTTCATTAAAACCTTTGCTAGGGATCTTCTCATCCAGCATGGGTACAGGCTGGCAGTGACTGAATGGCTCCAAATGCCACCTGAACCCCAGTGACCTACATGAAGTGACTCTGAAAACTCAAGGCCCTTGCCAAATCCCACACCTCACAGATGGCTCTAACTGGCCCAGCAGAGAAGCCAAGGGCCGGATGGGCTGTGGGGCCTGAACCCATCACAAGGGCACACTGGTATTACACAACACACGGAGGCAGAGGGGAGCTAGCCCTGCGCCTGACTGGTGGATAGATGGACTTGAGTCTCAGTCCAGCCCCTTCCACAGCTCTGTGATGATCATTCACCTGACAATGGCAGCACGTGCAATCAGATGCGCTGGGAGGAAACGTTAGATGCACTGAAATTACCTTTGGATGCTTTCGGGCACCGAGTAGCTGGTGATTGCTAACACCCGGAGGAGAATGTCTTCTGCAAAGGAATGCAAGGGGGCAGTTAGTGAGGTCAGTCCTCCCCAGAAGCCATGAGATCCCCATGTCAGGCACAAGACCCCAGGCTACCCCCAAGCACCACATGGAAACCAGAGAGGGAATTCTTCTCTTGAAGGGCTGTTTCCCTGGGATCATCCCCTTTCCCACCATCAAAGGCTCCACCCCCATCCTCCCTCTGGCCAAAGGCAATTGGGCCTGGCCACCTTCCAAACCCAGGCCCCTCTGCCATGTGCTGACTGGCCGGGCTGGGGAGGTCAGGTAGAGAGAGGGGTCAGTGCAAGTAGCAAAGATGCTCTGAGCTCTGACCAGGTCTTTCCCAGTGGACAGACCCTACTGCACATCCATGCCGGAGCGTCCTCCTAGAGGCTGCGGCAGCCACGCGAGACAGAGAATGAGCCGTGTAGCAGGAAGGAAAGCGTGTAGTAACTTAACAAGCCCTGGGGCTGGCGGGGGAGACAGAGGCGGCCACGTACTTATTGATCAGGCAACGGTTGGAATAAACAACATGCACTTAGGTGCCTCGAAGCAGGAGCACTGAGCAAGACTGGGTAGAGCCTTCCTCAGCAGCTGTCCTGTTAACCTGTCCTCTCTGCGTCAGCACTCCCCAGCCCCAGGGCTGCTCCCAAATGCACTCGGTGCAGAGCCCTGCTTCCTTGGGCACCCTTGTCTGTCTGCATCCATCTGTTGTTTCTTGTCTTAGACTTAGATTGTGCGTGTTTTGGGGCAGTTTGCACAGTACCCAGCAGAACGGGGTGTTAGGCCGTGACTGGGGCTCCTAAGTGCTACAAATAAATAATGACAGTAACAACAGACAACTCTCACGCTCTCCAGAGGAGCCTGCATCTGAACCAGCAGATCTCCTACCCTCTATTAACACATAGCGCTGCCCAGAGCTTCCCCCAGCACCTATAGACCTCCCAGTTGCAATGGGGTTCACCACACACGTCAACACCCATGGGGCAGGCGGGCAAGGAGGAGCTGGGAGCAACTGGCCACCATCTGCCAGTGAACATGAAGTCTCACGCATCTCCACCATTGGACCCCTCCCTGCCATCCACACCCCTGAAGTGAACTGCTCCTTCCAGGACTGAGGACTTGGGTAGATGTTCAGGAGAGCTGGCAGGTTCTCAAGGGGACAATATTGAATGCACAACTGCAAACTATAATGGGAAGAGACCAATATGGCTCCATCAGGAGCCCTTTGATGACCTGAAAATCAGAAAAGAATCCTACAAAAAGAGAAAACATGGCCGAATTGCTAAGGAAGAGTGCAAAAGAACAGCACAGGCATGTAGGGACAAAATCAGAAAGGCTAAGGCATAAAATGAGTATTACCTAGCCAGGGACATGAAAGGCAATAAGATGTTCTTAAAATACATTAGGAGCAAAAGAAAGACAGCGGCAAGCATAGGTCCTCTACTTGGCAGGGAAGGAGAGCTAATAACTGATGACATGAAGAAGGCTGAGGTGTTGAATGCCCATTTTGCTTCAGTCTTCACTAAAAAGGTTAATAGTGACTAGACACTCAAAACAATTTATATTCACAAGAGGGAAGGAATGCAAGCCAAAATAGGGAAAGAACAGGTTAAGGACTATTTCGATAAGTTAGATGTATCCAAGTCAGCAGGGCCTGATGAAATTCGTTCTAGGTACTTAAGGAATGAGCTGAAGCAATCTTGGAACCATTAGTAATTATCTTCAAGAATCCATGGAGGATGGGTGAGTCCCAGAAGGCTGGAGAAAAATAAACATAGTTCCTATTTTTAAAAAGGGGAACTAGGAGAACATGGGGAACCACAGACCAGACAGAGTAACTTCAATATCTGAAAAATACTGGAACAAATGATTAAACAATCAATTTGTAAGCACCTAGAGGATAAGAGGATAATAGGGAATAGCCAGCATGGATCTGTCGAGAACAAATCATGCCAAACCAACTTGATTTCCTTCTTTGAAAGAGTTTCTGGCCTAATGAATGGGGGAAGCAGATGATGTCTTAGATCTTGATTTTAGTAAGGCTTTTGACACAGTCCCACATGACATTCTCATAAGCAAACTAGGGAAATGTGGTCTAGATGAAATTACTGTAAGGTGGGTGCACAACTGGTTGCAAGACGGTACTCAGAGAGTTGTTATCCATGGTTCACTGTCCAACTGGGAGGGTGTATCTAGCAGGGTCCCGCAGGGGTCAGTCCTGGGTCTGATATTATTCTTTTAATGACTTGGCTAATGGAGTAGAGAGTATGCTTATAAAATTTGCAGATGACACCAAGCTGGGAGGGGTTGCAAGCACTTTGGAGAACAGGATTAGAATTCAAAACGACCCTGACAAATTGGAGAACTGGTCTGAATTCAACAGGATGAAATTCAGTGCAGACAAGTGCAAAGTACTTCACTTGGGAAGGAAAAATCAAATGCACAACTACAAAAATGGGAAATAACTGGCTAGGTGATCATACTGCTGAAAAGGGATCACAAATTGAATATGTGTCAACAATGTGATGCAGTTGCAAAAAAAGGCTAACAACGTTCTGGGGTGTGTTAACAGAAGTGTTGTACGTAAGACACGGACGGTCTCACTCTAGTCGGCAGTCCAAATCCGGGTGCCACGCTAGGAGTGAAGTGGACAAACTGGAGAGAGTCCAGAGGAGAACAAAAAGTATGATTAAAGGATTAGAAAACCTGACCGATGAGGAAAAGCTAAAAATCTGGGCATGTTTGGTCTTGAGAAAAGACGACTGAGAGGGGACCTGATAACAGAGTTCAACCATGTTAACAGCTGTTACAAAGAGGACGGTGATCAATTGTTGTCCTACCTTCAGTGGACATGGAAAAAGTAGTAATGGGCTTAATCTGTCGCAAGGGAGATTTAGGTTAGATAATAGGAAAATCTTTCTAACTCTAAGGCCAGTCAGGCTCTGGGATAGACACCCAAAGAAGGTTGTGGAATCCCCATCATTGAAGGTTTTTAAAACCAGGTTCGACAAACCCCTGTCAGGGATGGTGTAGCTTTACTTGGTTCTGCCACAACACAGGGGCTGGACTTGATGACCTCTCGAGGTCCCTTCCAGCCCCATGTTTCTATGATCCTATCTGTCCCTGCCGGAGGAGAGCTCACCAGCTGCCAAAAGCCAGGAGGAGGGGAGGGAGAGGACTGCTGCCATCTTTCAGCAGCAGGAGCTAGGGGATAAAAGAGACCCACATCTGCTGTGGCTTGGGCACAGAGAGGGACACACTGCATGCAGGAACCAGTTGGGTATACGCAACCAAAAGCAATCACTATTACTTCAGCGTTGCCAGACTTTGCTGTGTTATGAACGATGTTAAGGCTCCTACAGCTTGGGATAGGCATCTTTTTACTGTTTTTAATCTCGATAAAATAGTCTTTATTCTCCTTTTTAAAAAGAGACTCAGTCATCCAGTTAGGGATCAGAAACAGTATCATGTGACTCTGACAACCAATCACGCATCATGGGCAACAAGTTGTTGCTAACCGTTTGCGAACGCCCGACTGGCTGAAAGTTTTTCTCACAACCTGGTCAAGCAACCACAAATACCTTTGTAAGGATTCCCTAACCGAAAACAGGGATCAGCTGATGAGAAGTTATTCGCAACATGCCCGTGGAAGGGCAATGCAAACAATAAGCAAGTCCAGGGCAGAGCCAAGAGGCCACGGGAGAGAGCAGATCAAGCCACATTGGTTAGACTGCAAGTAAGAAATAGGAGGCGGCAGGAGATACAGAAAAAGCAGGTGCGAAGGAGAATATATTTCCTTTATTGTGTGCCATGCTGCAATTAACCAAACCCCAGGGATTGGTGTTGCAGAGCAGAGAAAGCAGGTTTGCTTACCGCTTCCTTTAGTCCCATATGGCAGCTCATACGGCGATCGGTTCTTCACCCAAAAGTAATCATTTAGGTGTAAAAACATTGGATGATCCCGTGTGTAACTGCAAGGAACACAGAGCCCGATTAGCCAGAGGGACGTGCAAACCTGAACTGAACTGGCATCTTCAGCTGACTTCACAGTCTATTCTCTGCCCTTTCCCTCACCCCCAGAGCCTGCAGTGCCAATCCTCCCCCAGCTCCCACATGCCACCCGTCCCCTGGGAGCAAAGAGCAGCCCCGCAAAGGCCCAGCTCCTGCTTGGGACAGTTACTCACTTTCCTATGAGCAGCGTGGCTCTCTTTTCCATCTCTCCTCGGGGACACGTCATTCGGACATCTTGCACGGGGAAAGAAAAACTGTAAGGCAAACAGCAGAGATGGTGATTTCCCCAGCCTGGGCCTCACTCGCATGACGAGCCGTCCTTTCCACGTCCGGCGAGCAGGCGCGAGTCCAAGTGGGAGCAGAGCATGTCACTGCCAGACAGTAACTGAGGGCTTGGGTCCCATGTCACCTCCAGGCCATGTGCCACTAGCAGAGCTTATTGCAGAGGAGTCATGGCAGAGCCTGAGGGAATCTCAAAGTCGGTAAAAGCTCCCCTCTCTCGACTGACTGCTATATGCTTAATTACTAAGCTCTTAAGCCCACCCTAGAGAGAGAGCAGCATGCAGAGACCAGAGATGTCACTCACGTCTTCAGCTCTAGGCACAAGCACCAAAGAAAACTGCCTAACATCTTTTTTAGACTGCTTATCCTCCGCACTTCTCTTTTAACCCCTGAGGTGCGTCGTCAAGTAGAGAAAAAGGTGCATTCTTATATCCTGTGAACTAACCCCGCCGTCTAACTCGACCTACGAACATGCATTTAAAACTACAAACAGCCTTCTCTGGGATTTTCCCTCACGTAAGTTACCAAGTATTAGCTAACATGGTAAGAATGCACCTCTTAGTGAAGACAAGGCTTAGACGCTCACTCACCATGATCTACGGCAAAGATTTTGCAGGCTCATTCCAAATTCACCTTGGACAAACACTGAGCTGTCCCCCAAAAATCATGATAGGCTTGGACCGGGGAACCCCCAATGCATTGTTATGCAATGTCATCACAACAAGACGGCACTTACAGGCGTCCTTCACCTGTTGTGTGGCTGCATTATAATCGTGTTTATCCTGTAGGATGAACTGAGGAGGTGAATCTCACCAGCCGATTCAGACTAGATAGACCTCCCTCTTATCTGGCCGGAAGAGGTGTCATTTAGCTATCCCTGCCTCCAGCTCCACACGGTTCCTGAGATCGAGAGCATGTCCCTTCCACGCACTGTGTCTTAGGCTACATCCTCACTACGGGGGGGGAAGGGGGGAGTCGATTTAAGATATGCAAATTCAGCTACGCGAATAGTGTAGCTGAATTCGACATATCGGAGCCGACTTATCCCGCTGTGAGGACGGCGGCAAATCGACCTCCGCGGCTCCCCCGTTGACGGCGCTTACGCTTACCTCCGTTGGTGGAGTACAAGCGTCAATTCGGGGATCGATTGTCGCGTCCCGACGAGACGCGATAATTCGATCCCCGAGAGATCGATTTCTACCCGCCGATTCAGGTGGATAGTGTAGACGTAGCCTTAGTCTCAGAGCAGGGCAGCCCAAAACCATCAGGAAAGGGCAGAAGAGAAAAGGGACTTGCCCCAACTAAAACTTTAAAAAAAGACACTCACAGATGTATGTACCTTTCTTCGCGGGATATATAGTACCATGCCATCACCAGAAAGAACACCAGCCCTAAGATCATCTTCCATCCTATGAGAGACAGAGAACATGCTATAATGCTAGGACCATGGAGCTGTGACCACACAACATGCAGACCTCCCATCAGCTCCATACATGGACCTTGGTTTACAACCTTTTAGCCGGATCTCAATTCGCAGGCGAAGCCCTGTGTCAAAGCCAATTTGAATTCATTTTTTGAATAAGGTTTCATGGGGCAGTTTGTCAAATGCGTTAGTGGTGTGCAGATCAGTTCTCCTCCTTCCCTCCCACCCTTGGTGCCTATAGTATAATGCCAGGTCCAAAGTAAACCATTGGAACTTACACGGCCAGATTCACGCCAGTCCTAACCAACCCTTCCCAAAAATGACTATGTGAAGAAAATGCAGACACATTCCAAAGGAAGAGGAGATGCAATTTCTGGATCAACTTCTCTTCTTCGCTGACTTCAGTGGAGTTTTGCCCATTTACACTAGCAGGGAATTTGGCCCTCTGGCAGTGGTTTCTCATTAACCCTGCTTTCTCCAGAGCAGCGGCTGTTCCATTTTCTTGCTGGGCCTGTATGGAGAATGCAACTGACCCTTTCTTTCATTTCGTAGATTTTTTTAAGGCCAGAAGGGACCATTATGATCCTCCTCCTGCACAATATAGGCCAGAAATTTTTCTCCCTCATCATTGCATCAAACCCAGTTCTAGTGGTTGAGCCGGAGCAGGATTTTAGAAAAAGACATCCAACCTTCGTCTAAAGACTTCAGTATTATGGCAAACCCACCACAACCCTAGATAAGTTGCTCCAATGGTTAATTGCTTTCTACTTAAAAGTTTGCATCTAATTTCTAGCCTGGATTTATCTCGTTTCAGCTCACAGCCCACAACAGATCTTGTTATGTCTGCTAGATTAAAGAACTCTCTATTAGCAGAATTTTTCTCCCCACAATGGGGAATTGCCTGAGGTGATGCTACTGGGATTTGAACTTTTGGTTCCAGTGGGTCTGGCCAACCAGCAGCTCAGCCCACCAACTCAGCACCGCCCTCCTTCTGCTGGCACCGTTAAACATCTAAGGAGCCTGCCCTTCTGCAGGGAGCAGTTGCCATTGTGTGATGCACGGTTCATGCAGCACGTTACAGAGGGTGGCACATAATGCGCTCTCTCTCTCTCGTATAGAGATTTTATCTTTAGTTTCTTTTTGTTTTGAGATTTCTCAAACTAGAATAAAAGTCATTCTGGCTCAAAGTGCTTGTTCGCTGGGTGTGTGGAAAAGCAAAATTTACAATGGCAAAGTCCGATGCATATTGGATCACTCGGAGAAAAATAAAGTTTGACAAGTCCGTATTTCAGCGCAAGATGCAGCAATACAGAAACCAACGTGTCTGCTCCATCAGTGACTGATAGGAGACTGAAGGTCCAATCCTGCAATTTAGGAGACTGAACTCCTCCATGATTTGAGGTCAACCTGTAGCTAGAATACAGGTCAAAGATATGGAACTGTTATTAAGAGCATCAGCGCTTACGTTAGAGAAAACTGTTATAATTCATCAGGCTACTGAGATAACTTCAATGCAAATTACTCTGACTGGGTGACTGGTTGTCAGACCAGAGAGCAGACATGGGTTGGTGCAATAGGAGAAGAAAAAGAAGCCGAAGGCACAGAAAACAGCTAAAGGGGAACAACAGCATGGAGTCCAGAGTTTGCAGTGGCCCATGATGCAAAAGGAAAGGTCTACCCAAGCAGCATCCAGCATGAGAAACATACTGGAGCGGTGTGTGTCACACAAGAAGATGACAGAGAGGAAGCTGTGCTCATTGGTATAATGATGAAGCGCAGAGGCCGTTAGCACCCATCAGCAGGGAGTCCCAAAAATGGCACACCTGACCAGGTAAGGCTGGGGACAGGAGCACACCCCGGGGTTATGCAAGTTAAAGCAGCTGATGAAGTGTGGCTATTTGAGTCATGAGCACCGGTGCCACACAGCACTGAAGTCCTGGAGGGTGCCACCTCAGCCAAAGAAATTTGCATCTGAGATAAATTTATTATTTCTGTGGAACAGACACTTCCTGCTCACGCGTAGTGAGTCAGAGCCATCTGTCAAGCTCCTTAGCTAGCCCAGACTCTCAAATCCAGGTGCAGCTAGTGATATGTCCAACACAGGCTGGGCTGTTTAATCTAGCTTTATTGGTCTTTACAACCAGACTAGAACCTGATCTGCCTGCCTTGCTTAGCCCTTGTGTTCACTCACCCAGAGTCACCTAACCAATCACAAGCTGATACCGGCCGATGCACCTTGCCCCAGCCTGCCACAACCCCTTCCCTGGCTCAGCATACCCTGCCTGCCACCGGCCAGTCACAACAGTCTCCTCACCTCTCTTCCCGCTGCCCAAGTAACAGCTGGTGTCCACCTAAGATGGAAGGATTCACAGTATTCCTCCATCACCTTCCACCTGCCCCACTGACTTGTTTATCACTGTACCATCACTATAACATGTAGGTACCAAGTACAGGGAGTAGAAGCTCCAGCAGGGACCTCTGGGAACTACATCCTAGTCCTGTCTCATATGGGCTCTAGATTCATGGGGGGGAGAGGTTGATTTCCCCTTCTGCAACTCCTCCCCCCCCCCCCCCCCCTACACACATATTAGCCCAGCCTAAGGAGGAGGGAGGTGGGAAAAGACGGCCAGGCCAGATACAGTGACAACTGTACATATCATGAGAACATAAGAACGGCCATACTGGGTCAGACCAAAGGTCCATCTAGCCCAGTGTCCTGTCTTCCAACGATGGCCAATGCCAGATGCCCCAGAGGGAATTAACAGAACAGGTAACCATCAAGTGATCCATCCTCTGTCGTCCAGTCCCTGCATCTGCCAGTTAGAGGTTTAGGGACACCCAGAGCATGGGGCTACACCCCTGACTATCCTGGCTAATAGCCATTGATGGAGCTATCCTCCCTCTCCCCCCACCCTCCTGGAGAAGACAAAAAGCTCCCTCCATCCTTCTGACCCCTTCTTTGTGCCACCTCATCACAGTGTGCACAACCCTCCACACACTGGCTGATCCTCCAGAGCCACCGCGAAGGACAGAATGAGATCAAGCCCCTGACCCCACTGGGAAGGTGACGAGTTATCCCTGAACTAGAGCCTGGTTCAACCACGCGTGGGGATGTGTCACTCCTGTGCGAGGCTCCAGCCAAGCCAGGGGCTGGTCTGGTGACTCTCAGGGCAGGTATATAAACCGCTCAGGAGACAGAGCTAGTCCGTTTGCCCAGCTCACTTCATGGCTTGGAACTCTCCCCTGCCCGACAGTGGGGACAGACTCCACAGGCCTCAGCCTGCTCCGGCTCCAGCCTGGCTCCCAGTCCTACTCCTGCCTTGGTCCAATCCTGCTCTTGACTCCTGATTCTGGCTCTGATCCTTGGTTCTGACCATTGGGCCAAGCCATCCATGCCTTGGTTTCTGATACCCACCTTGTCCCTTCCCCAGTTTGGGGGTCCCCATGGCACTACCAGTCTGTATTAGTTTTAAACACCACTCTGTACATGAATCACCTGTGACCCTGCAAACCCGTCTCAGAGAAAGAACGCAAAGCGACAAGGACTTACGGGACTTGTTGATCATTTTTATCAGCAGGGGAGGCGCCACCCCGTGGCTATTGCTCTCATCGCGGCCACTGCTGGTCACCTAGAGTGGGAAAAGGAAGACACTTTGAGTCGTACCTGTCAGGCAGAACATCTGGTCACCCGGCACACATCCCTTCCCCTCCACGCTGCCTGGCACTGAAAGTCCTGCCTACAGATATTCAGTGCCATAGAAGCACCTGCTTTAGTGTGGCCTCTGTAACAGTGATGCTAGCAGTTAAGATTTTATGTTAGCGATCACACACACACACACACACAAACACACACAGATGCTGATCATATATATCGTCTGGTCACACACTCAGGGATTCAAAAGTGTCTCAGTCAATTAGGAGCATAAGTCACTGTTGCAAATGAGACTTTGGAAGATTTCTATGCAGAGAGGTTACAGATCGGTGTTTAAATTATACATGCCCTTCAGTAAGAAAAAAATCAAAACCATTGAAACTTCTGTTTGAAAAAATGAACGAAATATGAACAAAATGTATTATGTTACAGAAATAGGACTTCAGATGTCTTACATATGAGCTTCTGTTTCCAGGTATAGTTCACAAACATTATGTGCCATGAAATGCTGTAGGTCAATTGTTAAGCACTTTCACAGTACTAAAAATACCTAACTATACATATACGCTTCTAATCCATATTCACATAGCATTATATTTATACAGCTGCATATTATTCCATAGGGTATTGCAGATAAAGACTAATAACTGTACTTCACTTCCCATGGAATCCCTGATGCATAGTACAATTAAACATAGATTATTTATTAGGTTCTGAGTTAAAAACATGAAGAGTCATAAGTTCAGACTGCACAGAGAAAGTTTTCCCCATTGAAGAGTTCTATCCATGTTGTTATCAAAATAAATTAGACGCGAATACTTTTCCTTGCCCTAACTTTGCAAGATGGGGTACGCATAGTGATAAGCCACCTTCATTTTCAATTCACATTTTAAAAAAATAAATTCTGCACACACACACACACACACACACACACACACGTAAAGTGAGAGACAGCGACCGCCCAGACTGACAGCCGCTGGGTCTGCACCGCGCACCAGATGTGCTTTGCAGCTCCTGAACCAAGTAGACAGCTGCAATGCTGACGCATCACCAAGAAGCCAAGCAGATCAGGCAGGTATTAAAGCAACGTACATCATGTTGGATGCCACGTACTTGGAAAGAACCAGATTCCTTTGATCCAGCCATCCACTTGGAAAGAGGCTTGGCTGGTGCTGTATGTTTTCTAAAGACTTCTGCACTCACAGCAGTCTGAGCTCCCAAATACGTCTGCTCCAGAAGCCGACTTGTGACACATCGGGTGACTGCACCAGGGTGAAAGATCTCAGTGGAAACGTTTTGAAACCACCTTCCTAATTATCTCTTTGTGGTTAATTAAGGAAATATAATAAGCAGGCCTTCCCCACCCATCTACAGCATGTTTACTTCTTTCAGAGCAGGTGTCTGCAAGCTGAGTGATTTTCAACAGCTCAGTCACTTGGTTTATTACTGGGGTTCCTGAACGATTCCATAATTAAGTCATGTTTCCTTGAAATCTTCAGGCTGCCGCGGATCTCCACAGAGGCAGACACCCCTCTGGAGAAGCAGGGGAGGGTGCCAGCAAACCGGGCCAGGACATTCTTCCAAAATGACCCTGGCTCCATGCATCCGTCTTGCTGCTCTTTAGTCATTGGCCAGACAAACCACAGAGTGTTCTCACGTTCCGAGCAGTCTAAAACTCTTCCAGGGCACTGGGAGCCAGTGATTAAGCTCTCACCACTGCTTGACCACTCTAAGGTCAATGTTTACTTTGCCACACAATCCTCATTTCACTCCCCTCCCCACCCTCACTCAGCAGTCACCACCTTGGCCAGCGAAAGTCAAACAAAACTAATCTAAAGCCACCTTTATTCCGGGGGCGGTGGGGGGAGACACAGCTCGTTAAGAGCAATTCCCTTCCTGAGTTGCTGGGATACGCCACGAATCATTACGGAACAAATTAATTTCATAACCATGCGGCTCCTCAGAGCCGTAACACGCCCTGGGATTCATTCCTTCGCTAAGTGAATGTAAGTGCTGGGGAACAGGTGCCAAAAGGACAGGCTTAGAGAGGTTTTGTTCTTCTGTTTATCCCTGCATTGCCCTGGCAACGAGCCTTATCCTGGATCTAGAACCACCATATGCAGGGAAGAGGATACTTCATTTGCCAGAACCCAATCAGTTGGGGTGCTGTGACCATTGCCTGTCACCAATATTCCCTCATTGTTTCTTTGTTCTCCCCTGTCTGGCTGTATCCGGCCATTCTCTCCTGCCTTGTACTTCAATCCTAATCTTCCTGGGGCAGGGCCTGGCTCTTTGCCCTGTGTTCAAGAATCGCAGCATTTAAGACCAGAAGTGATCACTAGATCATCTTGTCTGACCTCCTGTATTTCACAGGCCACCATCAGCCAGCACACCCACGCACTAAACCCAACACTCCAGTATTGCTAGCCTCAGGAGACCAAGCTATTGTGTGTAGAGAAGAGACGGGACCGAAGCGCTCCAATGCCCGAGGCCCCACCAGTGTCAGAGAAGAGCTACCAGAGAGGGGTAACTTGCAGTCCCTTCCAGCCTGGGCCCATCTGCAACAGTCCCCTCCCATGAGCAAACTCTTGAGCCTTTCACTATCTGACCACCAGCAGGGCTCCCTAGGCCACAGATAAAGTCACCTGAGAAGTAACAAAGGACCAAAGGTGACCTTACCAACTGCAGGGGATTGAGAGTGCAGGATATACCTCCTCCATCCTAGCAGATAATATACCTGCTTAATGCTCCAGAGAACAGCTCCAGACAGTCTCTGCTGATAAATATGCCCTGGAGGAAGATTCCCTCTTCACGCCCACCTTGGACAGGAGTTTAACGCCAGCAATTATCTCCGTCTCACTCTCCCCACTCCTTACCTACCTGGAGTCCAAGGCCAAAAGGGAAACATTGTAGCCATCTAGGTCTGATAAAAGGCCACACTGCTCCACAGGAACACCAGGATTGGAACCCACGCCCTCCAGTATCAAAGGCTACAGCCTTACCCCTGTGCCACCATACCTCCTACACCGTGCTGCGAGGCCACTTTGCAGGTCAACATGGTGCATGCCTACCTTCTTTCCTGCCCAGACATGACTCTCTTCATAGCCCATAAGCGCCATTCAACATATCAACTGGAGGGGGCACTGCTGAACAATGTGATACTCCACCGCGGAGCTGCCCAAAACAAAGGATTTCTGGTTCCTGCGAAATGTCAATATTTTGATTGCTTTCATTCCACACTTTGGCATTAAACTATTTTTTTCAAAATTTCCCATGAACCACAAATCTCAAAAAAATCAAATTGTTTCGGAAATACCAACCCCGAACGAGACCTGCTCCCCAGGACCAGGTCAGCCCCTGACTGACAGTCTTGTCGGTTTCACTAGGGCTGTGAACCTGACAAGAAATTTCAGTCAGCAACTGCTGGAGCTCCTGGGGTCTGCAACTCTAGGACAGGAAGTCTAAAAGTCCTGAGAGTCCCCAGGCTCCCTGTTGCAGATCTGGGAGCCAATCCTGATTAGAGCCGGGGCTTTCAGGCAGTAAGCCTGGAAACCCTGGCATGGCAGGGCTGCCCTGCAGCTCTGGACTCTAGGAAGTTCTGGGGTCTCCAGCCTGGCACTGCCCACAAGACTAGGCTGCCCTGGAGCTGTGGACCCAGGAAGCGCTGGTTTCCCAGCAGCCCACTATGCAAGCCGCCAGGAAAGGATAGAATCTTGCTTGGCAGGCAGGTTTCTGATAGACCCAAACCATTTTCACAGGCCATTTGGGGATCAACACATGGGCATTTGGCAATGAAAAAGTTCAGAGAGGAAGTTCAGACTTGGGCCTTCCGGTTGATGTTACAGCTAGGCCACCACGGACAGGAAGTGCATTTCTGGAGGGGCAGGGGTTCACTGCCAGTGAGTTTAATCTCAGCTGATTAAACTCACCGGGCATTCTGCCGTGTGCCTCTGGACCCCACCCAAAAGGGTGTGCTCTAATTACCCATAATGTCACTGCCCATCTGTCTCATTGCCCAGTGAAACCACACAGCTGGAGGGAGTCTTTGCAGCTGGGTTGAGTGCACCCTGAGCAACAGGGTGTATCATCCACCTAAAACGCTCACCAGGGTGAGATCTTAAAACAATATAGAACATTGGCACTTTTCTGCCACATTTCTTTGCTAGGAACTCACTGTGCTAACCAAACCCTAATTCTGCCTCAGCCCATCCTCAACGGTAGGTCAGCAGGAGTGTCCCCATTTTACAGACAGGGAAAGTGAGGCATAGAAGTCAAGTGACTAGCCCCAAGTCAGTGGGAGATCTAGGAACAAAACCCGGATCCTTGCCTTCCAGCTCCATGCTTTGGTCACTAGACCAGAGTCTTCCTCTGTAATCCCAACCACCCACACACTGCACCTACTAATCTACAGCAATGGCAAAAAATGCTTCGAAATGAAGAATGGCATCAAAAAAGATTGAGGGATGTGTGAGGTTTGTTTTGTAAGTCATTGTGCTACACAATAACCAGCGATCGCTGAACCTCACCGCCTAAGACACTGGGTTCAACCGAACCTCTACCCATTCAGCTGCTTTGCACAACATACCTGTCACCCACGCCCACCTGGGATGGAAGGCTCTCAAGAGCAAGGTTCAGCTTGCAAAATGTCCCCTCCTCTCACAGAGGCTGGAGACGCCACCAGGCACAAACCTTTCCATGGGATTCCACCTTCCTAAGAAAACTGAGTTCATGGAGCTGTCTCAAATGTCCCCTTTCCCATCCCCCCAAAAGATCCAGTAGAGTTGGGTTCTTATTGTCCCAGCCTGGTTTGTTCCCAGCCCAATGCTTCCTCCACGGGATGGGATAAGAGCAGTTCCCGAAAGACAAGAACATAAAAATAGCATGTAGCTCTGCTGCACTGTAGCAGGTTTGAGATCCATGCACTCTGGGGCCGTCCTAACCAGATCCTCACACACCAATAAATAGGACTGAAAACTG